ACAGTAAACTCAGACTATACTAGCTTGCGGCTAAGCAGACGAAAATAGTAAATTTACAAGAATCTAATGGAAAGTTACAAGTTGGCCTGATGCTTCTTTCCTTGAGTATGCGCCAGGTAACTTCCTTCATTGTTGTGCAAAGTCAAACAAAGCTTGCACTCGTAACCGCCAAGGTGGTTTTTCATAAAATATGGATCCTGCAACAAAACTGATATTAATGCAGAGTAGCAGTTAAACAAATGTACCTTATTAAGATCAATGGTCTCCAACGCCAACTGACGCAGTCGCTCTCGGCGATCCCGGTTGGCATCAGACCATGAAGCAACGCCACCTGTACCAGTCTTTCCGCCGGGACGATGTTGAAAATCCATTTTGACACAAGTCGTACAACGTCAGCCTGTTAACTGAAACTTGAATGGCTGTAGATCAAAGTACGCTAGCAAAATATTATAACAGTGAAGAAAGTTTAAACGCAAAGCAGCCTATCATATGCACGTCAAACGCATACGACTATATCAAATTTAATCATAAACTTTGGCAGTGAAAATCACCAGGTCGATGCTAATACCACACAGAGAATGAGCAATGAACTACGGCAGCTGCACTGTCTATTCCTGTAACAGTCTGTTTCAAAGGCAACCGGAGGCTCTCTTCTGTGCCTGTAACGGTTTGACATCAACGAAACTTCTTTTTAAACCCACCCTCCTTTCGACTGAATACAATATTTCTGAAGGAATGGTAGTGAGGCATAGAGGATGAATTCCTTAGATCTGTTGCAATACGCCACTACATGCACTTTCACAAAAGGGTAGCAGTTTCGTAATTTTTATTTGCAAGAGATACAGCAGTGGTCATGAATGAGACTGGTCAGATAATTAGTCTGGGAATAAATTTGCTTTGCCCAAACATGGATCATTCAGACACTATTGAGTAGCTTTTGACTGCTGATATTCACTGCACACATAATTATTTGCTCGATAAACGAAAACCTACAAATTTCATCAAGACTTTACATGAACATTGCTGACAAGAAATGCATTACTGCTGAAATAAACAGTTACCACGATATAAGAAAGTTTCAATTTATTCTAAACACTCGCCCTTGGACGCGCTCTTACCGTATGAACTGATAAACTGTGCCTGAATATCTGTTCATTAAAGCGATCCACAGTAAAAAGCAATTTTTACAAACCTGAACGTTGGCTGCAAATGACATCTGTTCATTATGATGTCCGGTCCTTAGAAGGGGTGCCTAAAATTATTTCAAATAACGTCCATGATTCCAGGACAAAGTTGTTCGCAAAACCAACCTACCTCAGCCAGGTGTTTTTTGGATTTAAGTGGTTCTTTAGCACCTTAGTAACGTGAACAGATCTCAAACAAAAAACATTGAAAACCTTGTATTAGTTATTTGAAAATCTTTTCCAAACAAAGAAGGAAGCAATTCCCCGTGTTCTTCTAACAGTTTCCTAAGATCCATGAAGGGGAGGAGTGGCGTAATTGATTGGTATCACATTTTCGTGTGAGTGAATGTTCAAACTAAACCCGATGTGAACATTTTCTCTTATTAACGGCTAATTGCGTTGATCAAGAAGTTCATGGCCTCTGTGCTTCGGTGCAAAACGCCAAAAAACCAGTAGGTAAGTGTAGACTTGCGAATAATACGGACAGTAAAATGCCTTTCTGTGGTCATGCCAAAGCTTCCAAGACATACAGCAATATTGTCTGAGGCATGTTGCGCTTTAGGTAAAGAATCGTTTTAAATCACACGATCATCGACTAAAAATCGAAAAATGGTGCAAAAGTGATTTTAAAAATTTAAAGACCGTTTCCTATTGGACAAATGACGTTTTCAGGCAAAGTCTAAAAGGTCTGCTTCGACTTCCGGAGGTGCAAGTTCGATTCCGATCAAAGGTGATCATTGCTTCGTTCACGAATTTCTTTGACCACACATTGCCGTAGACCATGGGTTGTTCAGTCGGTAGAGAGTCGAACTCATAATCGATAGATCATCAGTTCAAAGTTGGGTCAGAGATATTCGCCCTTCTTCCTTCCAAGGTTGATAGATCACTACAACTCTGTGGGAAAAAAACAGGAGACCACACATGACGCAAATCAAATGACTGTAATCTCTGTTCTCAAGAAAAATAAGGCACACTTGGCGGACAGCAAGTGGATGAACGCCGCGCCATCAACTTTATGAAAGAAGAACGCCATAATTGTCCAATCATGAAAGTGAAAGAAAATCGACATACCAACGTTGAAAACTTGCCCTATTCTTTTCTCATTATGGTTTATGCACTTATGGTTTAAGCATGCAATTAAATCACTTTTCAAAGTACTCCGAATACTTTTCCAACCAATTTGTTGTCAGTTCTCCGAATTTATACGGCATAGGTGCACCATCCCTTCTGTCCAGTGATATGCGGAACCGCTTAAACAGGCCACAGCTACTTTGCGTTTGAGAACCTGCAATGCATGGATTAAAACTGCATAATTGACTAAAAGCCTATTCGGACGCCTAGTTTCCGTTAACATATACAAATATATAAAACCAGAAAAAAACCCTGTAAAATAGGCATGCCAGCAAACTGTGAGTTCTCGATATTCCGGGTAGAAATACATTTTACATTCATTTTTATTCCAACACAGCGTAAGCATACTGTTCCCTTGCTTTTAGTATCATAGAACGTGTTTGAGCAGACTAGGTTAATATGAGAGTTTAGCGCTTTCTGTGCACTGTTGCAAAACGGCGCCAATTTTCAAATCAGTTGGCAATTTTCACACAAAATTTACGATGCAAAACATCCAACTTTTAGAAAACGAGCGAATTTTATTCATGAACACAAGATCTATCTCAAATGAACAGTCAGAAGGAGCTCTGGGTTTTTAAGGCACTGTCTACTTAAAAAATAACCGCGCAGTGGAATCTATTCTTCTGCAGGAAAACGAATTGAAAGGCAAGATATTGAAGATGTAGTTATATATCAGAAGTAAAGATTTCTTAACAAATTTGGTTTTTTCAATTCCTCAAGTTTCAACCCTCGTCGGCCGATAAAGGCTCATGTTATAAGCTTCCAACCATTAATAAAATTACCCAAAAAAGGTATCGTAATTCAAAAAGGGCAACATGGGAACGACACGTCAGTGGATGCTTGCAGTCTGAAATTGAAACATATCTTCACTCAGAGAGAAACAGAAGGAGCTAGTTGATGAAGCTGCAAAGTATCAACTAGACATAGTTGGACACTCTCCAACGAAAAGAACAAGCACAGGAGTTCTGAGCCTCAGATGATGAAAGTTATTCTATTCAGCGGTCGACAACAAGACTCGCGTTTAGGTCGGTATCGATATTATGGTAGAACCCAACCGGGCCGAGAGAATTGTTGAATGGAAGCCTGTCAACGAAAGAGTGACAATCCTCAAGCTACCACAGGATAGAGCGTTGACTTTGTTGCAGGTTCTATGCGCCCAATTTGGAAAAGAATATGAGTTTTTCCTTGAGGAAGTGGAGTGTGCCGACTACGAAGTCTCTCATTCCAACCCGCATATCAGAGCAGATAAAAAAGGTGGAAAAGCGTGCTTGGAAAGAACAGCCACAGCCAAATGACGGCATGAAGTTGCTGTGGTTCTGTGTAAACAACGGACTACCCATTATTAACACTTTTTTCGATCATCGAAGCGTGCATAAAAGTACCTGGTATAAAGATGGATACATACAAAAATCGATGATC